AGAATGTTATACAAATGAAATCATATAGTGTATAACTCTTGGGGACTGGCTCTTATTTTTACTAAGCATAATTCTCTGTGGAGTCATTCAGGTTATTGTGTGTATCAATAGTTTGTTCCTCTGCATTGCTGAGTAGTGTTCCATGGTACAGATGTGCCATAGTTTAACCATTCTCCTGTTGCAAAGTCACTTTAACAAGCTCTCAAAGTAATTCTGATGCACTCTCAGGCTTGAGAACCCCTGATCTCTAGGGAAAAAAAGCTTTAGAGGACAGGAAATAAACACAGCACTTTTCTGGGTTTTCTTTCCATACACTAACTTCATGGTCTTCCTCAAAGGCATAGGGAAATGACTTTTTAAAATTTCCACATGGCCAGGAGCGGTGGCTCACGCCTGTAATCGCAGCACTTTGGGAGGCCGAGGTGGGTGGATCACCTGAGGTCAGGAGTTAGAGACCAGCCTGACCAACATGGTGAAACCCCATCTCTATCGGGTACAAAAAGTAGCCGGGTGCGGTGGTACATGCCTGAAATCCCAGTTACTCGGGAGGCTGAGGCAGGAGAATTGCTTGAACCTGGGAAGTGGAGGTTACAGTGAGCCGAGATCATGCCATTGCACTCCAGCCTGAGTGACAGAGCAAGACGCTGTCTCAAAAAGAAAAAAAAAAATTCCACTACTACTGTTAACACAATATTCTGTATCCTGCTTATCACTGTTAAGTAAATGCATTTCTTAAAAGATTTGTGTATTTATATTCAACAAATACTTATGGAAGTACCTACCAGTAACTATTCCAGGCAAGAAGAAAGCAGCAGTAGAAAAGATATATAGGTCACTTTTCACAAGTAGCTTTTGCTTCAGCAGGACCAGAAAAGACAATAAGCAAATAAAGTCTTGTGAAACAAAGTCATGTTGAAACAAATGTCATGATTGAAAATAAAGTGACATAAGGGTTAAAAGATGAAGGAACTGAGGTCCCATTTTTAGTGACAGTCAGAGAAGTCCTCTCTGAGGAGATTGCTTGAGAGCAGAGTTAACTAAAATAAGGAATTAAGGCATGTGAATATATGGGCCGCTGCAGCAGACGGAGCAGCAAATTTAAGTCTTGCAACAAGAACATGCTTAACCCATTATATGGTTTGGATATTTGTCCCCTCCAAATCTCATGTTAAATGATGACTCCCAATGTTGGAGGTGAGGCCTAGTGTGAGGTGTTTGGGTCATGGAGGTGGATCCCTAATGGATGGCTTGGTGCCCTCCCATGGTAATGAGTTACCAGCATATCTGATTGTTCAAAATAATCTGGGACCTCCTCCCTTCTCTCTCTTGCTCCTGCTCTCATCATGTTACACACTTGCTCCTTCTTTGCCTTCTGTCATGATTGGAAGCTTCCTGAGGCCTCACCAGAAGCACACGCCAGCACTATGCTTCCTGTATAGTCTGCAGAAGTGTGAGTTGAATAAACCTCTGACTCAGGTCAGTTCATGCTTTTGCACAGGCTTCCAGACTGTGGAGGAAGGGACTCCAGCCCACAGCTCTAGATTTGGGATGTTAGGCTTCACTAAGTGAAGTCCTGCTCATGAAACCTATAACAGAAGCCTTTGCTCCTTCCCTCGAAGGAGTGCTAACAAGCCATAATGAGTTTATAATCCTGAATAGTAGAAATAAAACACCTTATTACAATGAGATGAAATTCACGTTAGCTGCTCTGGCCCCAAACATAGAATATTAAGAAAATAAAGATGCTCTTGGTACTTAAGGGTGTGATTTTAATAGAGAAGGTAAGGTTCTCTGAAGTTACTCTGAAACGTATAGCACTTAGAACTTTGATTGTCTACATAACTTATAAAAATTATTAAACAATAACATCATAACCATGCAAAAACAAAAGACCCCTGTACAAATTTTGGGTAGAATGGTGAGGATTGGGAGTACAGTGGGGAGTAGAGGAGGGATGAAATAATTTAAACCCAGGCACTCTTACCTACAGTCTGAATGTTTTACTCACTAAAAGATCCTTGGATAACTTAAGTTAAAACCACCAACAACTTCCGATATTCAACCTTAGCTATCAACTTGTCCCATGAAAACAGGCCAGAAACCTGCCTCAGTCCCTTATGATTTCATCAGCTCAGGTTGGCATGGCACATGTCTCCTATCTAAAGCCTGGGTGAAGATAAAAGGAGAAAACTAAAATGAAGAACATGTTTAGATTCTGTAAACCAGAGTTAGGGGCTACTTTTTTACAAATATCAATCCTACTGGTAGCTGTATGTTCCCTGTTACTTGCCAAAATGAATCACGAACTCATTTGTGGACCCAATCATTTATCCATGTTCACTCTCCCAGACTTTGGGGGGCTTTCCTCAGATCTGGAAACTATTTTTGACAGCTGAGATTTTGTTCTAGACATGGAGTTTAAACCTGAGTTTGAGTTTAGCTTTAGTGTTTAAAGGGTTAAGGATGGGGCAGCCCAGGGTTAAGGGTTAAGGATGGGGCAGCAAAGGTAACATTCTACACTGAATCTAGCCATGGGGAAAGGACTTTGTCAGTGTCTTCCTCAACAGGTTTTGCCATTGAAAGAAACATGAGACACTAAAGCTAAACTCAAACTCAAGTCTAAACTCCATGTCTAGAACAAAATCCCAGCTGTCAAAGAGAGTCTCTAGATCTGAGGGAAGCCCTCCAAAGTCTGTCTGGCAGAATGAACATGGATAAATGACTGGATCCACAAATGACTTTGCCATTCATTTTGGCAGTACCAGGAAACACACAGCCACAAATGGGATTAATATAATGAATGGGAGAGAAATGCTTAAAAAGATTTAAAAAGAAGGAAGTGGTAATATTGATATTGCTACACATTGAACATCTGAACAATGTTTAGACATCAATTTCTGAAAACAAAGACAATGGCTATGAGCAGATACACTCAAAATGAAGAAACATTTTTTTTATTTTTTAAGAAAAGGTTAATCACATATTCACAGAGTCAGTTTGTTACTATGGAATCACATATGATGTCATAAATTTGACATTCTAAATGCAAAGCTAGACTGAGCAAGGGAAGTGACAGGAAATGGAGCTGGGGAGACAAAAATCTGGATAACAACAAAAGAATTTCAACAGTTAAAAAATGAGTCAAACATCTCTCAAACAGAAAAAGGTGAGTAAATCGAGTGTCTTAGAATCTTGCCATGGAGCTGAAGAAATGTGGATATCAGTCCATCATTTGCCTCTGCAAAGGCTCTGCAACAACCAAATAATTTCAGATAATGGCTTCATGTAGAGGAAAAGAGAAGGAAGAGAATAAAGGCAATGGAAAGAGCAGAGAAATGGGAAGAAGGAGAAATGTTTAAAAAACGAAGACAGAAAAGAAAAAGATTAAAACATGCAATAAGTCAGTATTCATTTAGCATATACTCATATGTTAGTAGTAAAAGGTAAAAACAGTGGCTGTCTTTGAAGAAGGCATGGCCTAGTAGGAGAGAGAACAAAGGACAGCTCATTGCTCTGTAAAAGTATATACAAAAGACATAAGCAACACATGGCAATATTTCACTCTGGGAACTTCCCCCAGGTCACACTGAGCTGGGTTTTGAAGAACATAAGAGAGAAGAGGAGACCATAAGGAAATAAGGGTGGTGTATGCAGGCAAATACAAGTCACTTGGTATTAGTAGAACACAGTGATAAAGTGTAGAGTGAAGGGCATGCAAGTAGCAGGTACACAGGAATACATCATGAGGCTCCTGGTCGAACCAAGTGAAGAAAGTGTTTATCCAGGAATGAAGCATTACTAGATTTACATCTCGTAAATATTACTCTAAATAAATACGGTGGACAGATCTAGAAGTGGAGAGGATTTAAGGCCATGAAACCTGCTCGAAAGGCTATATTCTAAAAACGTAGTCCCAGGATGGTCAGAGGCCTGGAACAACGCAATGATAATAGAGATAGAAAAAAGGAACTGGATTTAAAATATCATTTGGAATTAGAAGTAAGAGGATATTATGGTGACTGCTATGTATGTGTATAAGGGGGGTGAGGGTTGATGAAAAGATTTTAAAATTAGTTCAGGAGCTGTACAGCTATGCCATTCTCTCATGCAACTAACATTCTCATGCAACTAACATTGATGAGATTTTTCCTGCTGCAAAACATAGAGCTTAAATGGATGTCTATAGAGCGCTCTAGCGGATCTTGGTCTAACCTAGAAGTTGTGCTCCTTAAACAGATAAATAACACTAATCTTGATCACATTGCAGCCACTTACTTATCATGAAACAGTTCAAATAATACTCCAATAAGTATCTCCTCCAAATGAAAATGAAAACATAAATATTTGAATAGAGTTCCACAAAGTGAGTTATCTTCTTGTGCTCTGTTACTTGGTTTTCCCTATCTGTTGTTAATTTGTTGGTAAGAAATCCCTTTCCACTCTACATCTATGAGTAATTAGATGATAGGAACAGAAGACATGACTTTCAATAAATTTGTATGAGATTAAGGTCCTTATATTTAGAAATCAAACTAATATTGGCAAGGATAGATCCACAGAAAATGTGAGCTATAGTGATGATGAAAATGAGAAAAAATTGAATTCTAAATGGTAAGGAAAAATAAGTTTCATAAGTAGCAATCTTCAGAGTAACAGAGAAAAAAAAAACTTATTCTACATAAACAACTTCACAATTCTCTAATATTTCCCGTGTTATCAGTCTTTAAACAATAAATGCTTTATATCTCAAATCTATGAACCAACAAATTTCTATATTAAATTTTGTTTATATAATTCTTTTTAATAAAATATGTGTTATCTTTAACTCATTCTTGTTAGAACAGGGTAAACTAAGGTCTAGAGTTTATATCTTTTTATATAAGCAAATAAATAAATTCCATGTTTCCTTTATCCTTGTATTCTTAAAGTCAAGGTTCCTAACGCCCTGAGATTAAAAATTAATAAATATTCTTTGTTTCCATGTCAAGAATGAGCCCGGAATGAGGTCCTCAAAAGAGAGTCTAGAAGCAGAAAAAAGAAAGGAATCTGACAAACCAGGAGTTCGTCTGAGCAATCAGGTGAGCCGATCTCTGTAGCAGAGGTGAGGAAATTAAGGAGCAGAGAGCATAAAGGAAAATGTTAGGGGGCAGGGAGTTCTGGGAGAGAAGACCAAGCTGTTGAGAATTGTATTAAGGCATCCCTAATGTCCTCATGAGGAAGTTAAGGAACTAGGAGAGGTTGGGCCCTGCCTTCCCCTCCATCCATACCCAAGTGTTCACTTAGAATGTGTGGAACCACAGCAGGCTCCTCTGCTCAGCCTACACAGGGAGGAGACTGATCTTTGTTCAAATCAGGGAGGGGAGGGGGTCTGGCCATCGCATTTACCACTTTCTGCACAATCTTTCAGATGAGGCGTGCAGTCAATCCGAATCACTCGCTGAGATGTTGCCCCTTCCGGGGTCACTCGTCGTGTAGACGCTGCCTTTGTGCAGCTGAGGGAACAGCCCTTGGCCCCTGCCGCACAATACGTATTTATATTCACATGTGCCTGTTGTGGGAGCAGGGCCAGCAGATCACCATGATGAGGGTGAGCAGAGATCGCACTACTGATTCTGGAGGGGAACCACAGACAATCTGGGTGAGGGGAAGAATATGGCAAATAGAAACTCTTTTACTTTGTTGCTCCCTGGTCTCCTTCATTCTTGTTTCTCCTAAAAGGAAAGCTTGAGGGCTCCATTCCTTTTAAGCAGCTGCTTTAGAGTCCCCGTGCAACCTCAGTGGGGCACCAGCTGCCCTCACCTTTAGAGTCTGGTAAAAAACGGTGGATATATCATTTCAGCATCAGTTAACAGGCTTATCCTCGAGGGAAGAAGTGAGGAAAAGGGAGGAACAATGGTGAACCATACTAAGTTCCATATATGAGGAGTCATAGTGAAAAAATATGTTTGCACCTTGGTTTTGGATGCTCTTTCAAATGGACCCCCACATAGATGCTCCAAACAGAAGTGAGGACTTGACCAGAGTTAGAACAGTACACAAGAGTTCGGGTTAAGAGTCATTGAGGCCAGGGATCTTCTCACTGGGTGCTGCTATATTCAGCCTGACATGACTATTCTGCAGGCACATGTATAGAAGGAGTGGGTGACAGGGTTTTACACCCTTGGGTTTCTTCTTTCCATCACAGGGATCACAAGAATCATCACTGCGCAAGACAGACTCTCGAGGGTACCTTGTGCGCAGTCAATGGTCTAGAACATCCGGCAGCCCATCCACCAAGGCTCCATCCATAGATGAGCCTAGAAGCAGGAACACCAGTGCTAAGGTAGAGGTAAAGATGAAAGGGAGGAGTAGATGATAGAATAATAACAATGGTTAACATTTATTGACGCTTTCTATGTGCAAGGCCCTGTTTATGTGCTTTACATGTGTTAGCTAATTTAGCCCTCAGGAGAACTCCCTTCCGCCCATAAATCCCATTTTACCGCTGAGAAAACTGAAGTATAGAGGGAACTTGTTTAAGGTTTCACATTAATAAGTTGTAGAGCTAGCACGAAAACCCAGGGGCTCTAGATCTGGAGGCTGCACACTTCCTCCTTCCTTCCTTAATTCGACAAATAGTTATTAACTGTGATTCTCAGAAGAGAGAAGGAAATGGTCATCACAAGAGAAAAAGAGTGTCAGATTGTGTGGGGCTTTGAGTCTTTAATTAGGCCTGACCACATAAGCAATTAAACAAAAAAAGTTAGTTTTGAGATTAAGATTTTGGAAGCAGAGCGAATGATCCAGACCCAGCCACTGGGAGAGCATGCATTCCTACCCAATTCATCATCTCTATCGCATTTGACTCAATCATCTAAACAAAAACATCCTTTTTTGAGTCATGTATGAAACAATCTGAAATCATACATGAATGCCTAATAACTTCTTGCTCACCTTAGTAAAGGAGATTTTTCTCTAGAATAGTCCTTTCCTGTTTAGGAAAATGATTCAATATAACTGTGGTCCCCTGGCACAAGGAGCTCTGAAGGCCCTGGGGAGATGCTCTAGTCTCTCGACAAGCGACTTTCCCAGCCATCACTCTAACATTCACATGGGGAGTGGGGAGAGACATGCCCCAAGGAGATATGTAGAGTGTTCTGGTGAGAATGTCTGGCCCACTTTGCTCATGGAGTTAACTGGAGGTCACACACTAAGGCACTGGCCAAGCAAGATCCATTCTGCACGCCCTCTGTCCTACCTGCAGGCCTCTGACTGAGTAGGTATATGCCAAGCAAGGGACAGAACTTTGCAAACCATGTGTCAGCCGCCTAAGGGGGAGGAGGAGGACTGGGTCCTATCTACTCCAAACAAATAAAAATGTGCGAAATGCTTATGGGGAAGCTAGGGGAGAGAGAATGAAAGCAGACAGTCTCTGTGTCTGTTTAACAGAAATATCAAACAGCTGAAGCCTAGAAATGTCCGGTTCCCTTAAGCCCTACTTAAGGAGCTGAGATGAACCAGCACCCATCCAAGGTCTAGGAACGGGCAGAAAGGACAGATCCTTGACGGGAGCTGGGCAGAGCTGGCCACAGGGACCCTGGGCAGGCCTCGACTTCAGACGCCCATTGTCTTGCTGCAGCTCCCCAGCAGCTCCACGAGCTCCCGGACTCCATCCACCTCCCCAAGCCTTCATGACTCCTCACCGCCGGCACTGTCCGGGCAGCCCTCGCTCCAGCCGCCCACGTCGCCCCAGCCACCCCGGTCGCAGGACTCACGGCCTCCCACGCCCCCAGAGCCCGATCCTGGCTCCCGGCGCAACACCAAAATGCAAGACAATCCGGAGGCCTGGGCCCAAGGCATCGTGCGGGAAATCCGCCAGAGCCGGGACTCGCAGTCGCGGGAATATTCGCGCACATCCTCCACCGAATGGAAGTCCTCCAGCCAACGCAGGGGGATCTACCCCGCCTCCAACCAACTGGACCGCGACTGTCTGCCTGAGCAGCAGCAGCAGCAGCGGGAGGATGAGGACGACTATGAGGCTGCCTACTGGGCATCCATGAGGTCGTTCTATGAGAAGAACCCGAGCTCCTCGCGTCCCAGGCCGGTGAGCGAGCCCACCACCCCTGGCACCCGGGGCGCCCCTCCTTGCAGCGGGCAGCAGAGCCTCTTCCAGCCGCCCTCCTCTCCGCTGCGCAGGGAGGTCCTCCCCAGTCTCCCGCTTCTCCTCCCCAAACCTCAGGGAGTCCCAGCCTCAGCTGTTTCCAGCATCCCACTTCTCCAAGCAGGGACCCGCGGTCCTATTCTCACCCTCCAGTGAAGGAGCCCCAACCCTGTCCCCTTCCTGGCTATGTGACTGTCCTCCCATTGGCGTCCCTCTCTGCAGCCCAAACCCAAGAACGCCATCACCATTGCTCTCTCATCCTGTGCGCTCTTCAACATGGTGGACGGCAGGAAAATCTACGAGGAAGAGGGTCTGGAAAAGTACATGGAGTATCAGCTCACCAATGAGAATGTCATCCTGACCCCGGGTCCGGCGTTCCGCTTCGTCAAGGTACTCTGCAAGCTGTCTTTGGTCCGCCAGGACCCTCGATGGCGAGGGAAGGACCCAGGCCAACCCTTGGGAGGGCATTCAATTTCCCAGATCATTCCTAGCCCACCATTGTCATTCTTGTCTCCTTCTAGCTGACCCAGGTCAGTTTATGATTTCGCACAGGCTTCCAGACTGTGGAGGAAGGGACTCCAGCCCACAGCCCTAGATTTGGTATGTCAGCCTTCCCTAAGTGAAGTCCTAATCATGAGACCTGTAACAGAAGCCTCTCTCCCTCGAAGGAGTGCTAAGAAGCCATAATGAATTTATAATCCTGAGTAGTAGAAATAAAACACCATATTACAGTGAAATGAAATTCACGTTAGCTCTTCTGGCCCCAAACATAGCATATTAAGAAAATAAAGATGCTGTTGGCACTTAGGGGTGTGATTTTAATAGAAAAGGTAAGGTTCTCTGAACTTACACTGAAATGTATAGCACTTACAACTTTGATCTGCTTATGTAAATATTACACAATAACATTATAACCATACAAAAACAAATGACACCTCTACAAGTTGTTGGTAGAATGTACTTATGAGTCATAGTAAAAGCATGGGCAAGAGCCACAAACCTAAAGATACATGTTAATACACAAAGTACTCTCTTTGACAGCATATATACTAAAATTGGAACAAAACAGAGACAATTTGCATGACCTCTGAGCAAGGATGACATGCAGATTCATGAAGCAGTCTATATTTTTCAAAATTAAAAACAATCATTAGATGATCAGTAAAAGCAGATTTTAAAAATCAATCAAACATAGACAAAGCATAAAAGGGTTAGCCTGACCCTACTCTCTACCTGTCCCCCAGAGATAATTCTAGTGAACCCAAAGTTGAAACAATTCTCAACAAACATTACTGATGTATTCTGAACATTAACTGAGTTCCTATGAATGAGAGGTTGATAATACAGAAATGCATGGGATAAATCTTCCTTAAAGGAGCCAGAATCTCTCAGAGAAGATTCTTCAGAGCTTGAATTTGACTCTGATGAGATGCTTCCTCTGTGGCCTCCCCAAAACCACCTTGCCTGCCCCTCTTTACACACATTCATGTTTGTAACCTGCAGGCACTACAATATGTCAATGCTAGACTCCGTGATCTATATCCTGATGAACAGGACTTATTTGATATTGTACTGATGACTAATAACCATGCCCAAGTGGGAGTGCGGCTTATAAACAGCGTCAATCACTATGGTAAGTAAAATAAATACCATGTGGAAGAACAGCTCTCTGCTCTGAAAGAGAGAAGCCATGTTATTTTGCTAACTGTGGCTTAACCAAACGCAGTGTCTTTGATACTGACACCCCCTTCTGCGCCAGGAATGTTTATTTGCCTATGTCAGAACAAGAGAGGCCATGTTCATTTTTAACTTCAGCACAGAGTTGGGCTCAAAGCTCTGGACTTAACTTGTCAAGTGTGAATTTCAAAGTCTTAATCCTAGGTCCTGCAATATATTTCTCTGTTTTATGTTTTTCACTTCTGAACTTGACTTCAAGGAGCCGTCAACCCAAAGGTTTTTACTGTGTGATCAAACTTCTTGCTCACCACAGATTCGTGTTAAAGGTTTAAAGGTTTTCACCTCTCCTTTCCACTCTTAAAATCTGATTGTCCCCGGCTGCTTTCTCTCCCCACACATAAAATAAAATTTGATTGATTCTAGTCTCTTCAGTGTTTCTATCAGTGTGTTGGGGACTTTAAGAGAAAGTTCCAACTTTTCCTATTATGGAACTACCTGAATTATTTCAGGCACAATTGGCCTATTTTCTAAATGGGTGTGTGAAGTTAAAATAACGTTTAAATTGGGCATATTTACAAATAATCGAGATATAAGTTATGAGTTTTACTTTATATTATTCTAACTATAAGGCTGGAATCATTGAAGTACATTTAAAAATATTTTTGCCTTTTAAAAGTGTAGTCTTCTTAGTGTTAGGAAGTAAAAAGAGAGAACATAAAAATTTAACATCAATGAGTGCCATATAACAATCACCTAGTAAACAACAGCTAGTATTTAACATTGATTTAGTAGGTGATTTGACCTATCAAGGCTGGAAGCATAAGAAATCAGTTATTTACCTGTTAATTCTGCTGATGAACTGATTGTGTACAACCTTCTCATGCAGCCTTGTTCATGGAATAAAAATCTTTTGACCCAGAAGAGTTAGTTACTTCCTTCTCTGGGTACTGAAAGCAATTCGTATCTCTGTCTCCCGGGGTCTTTATTATAACAAATGTTTTACATGCCAGGCTCCTCAGTGAACTGTGATCTCCTTAAGAAGAGGGACGATGCTTTAATCATTTCTGGAGTCTTGGTGTCACCAAATAATTTCTGGGTGATGAAATTCACATGATTTAGGGATTTGTAGAGCACACTTTTGTGCCACATATGCCCAACATTGACATAAGTGAAAAAAATGAGAGCATTTTCTAATACCAAAGCAGATACTTCCACCAAGACAGTTAATGGACCTGACCGACTCTCCTGGAACTAACTAGACAGTATTCTGCTTTATATCATGTGTAGCTACCCAGTTTATCATATATCTAAAAAAAATCCTTTGAATTGGTACATATTCTATCATTTGGATAATCCTATACTTTATATAACTACTGTCACATTGTTGAAGGTTTTGCTTTTATAAATAACCCTAAACTGAGACCTTTCTATAGAAATCTTTATCAGAATTTCAGAATATTCCTTTTTAAAAAACTAAGGAATCTTAGGTCAAAAGGTACAAAGCTGTTAAAAGCTCTTAATACATATTGCGTATCATCAAATCACTTTCTAGACAGCTTGTACCAATGTATACTTTTACCCATAGTATATGAAGGTGCCTATTTTACAAACCCCTTACAGCCAGCCAGTGTTATTTTGTAATAGTTACTGATTTACAAAAGCATTTGATGTTATATTAATGTTTAATGATGATAATTCATTGTTATATGACTAAATTGCATGTCATCAGGGTTTGGTGTAGAGATTACTTCATTACCTAGGTAATAAGCATATTACCCAATAGGTAATTTTTCAATCCTCATCTGCCTCCCACCTTCCACCCTCTGGTAGGCCCTGATGTCTATTGCTCCCTTCTTTGTGTCCATGTGTACTCAATGTTTAGCTCTCACTTATAAGTGAGAACATGTGGTATTTGGTTTTCTGTTGCTGCATTAATTCACCTAGGATAATAGCCTCCAGCTCCATCCATGTTGCTGCAAAAAAGATGATCTCATTCTTTGTTATGGTTGTGTTTCACGTTATATATGCACTACATTTTGTTTATCCAGTCCATCATCAATGGGCATTTAGGTTGATTACATGTCTTTGCTATTGTGAATGGTCCTGCAATGAACATTTGTGTGCATATATTCTTTTTGTTGTTGTTGTTGTTGTTGAGACAGAATTTTGCTCTTGTTGCCCAGGGTGGAGTGCAATGGCACTATCTCGGCTCACCACAACCTCTGCCTCCCGGGTTCAAGTGATTCTCCTGTCTCAGCCTCCCGAGTAGCTGGGATTATAGGCATGTGCCACCACGCCCAGCTAATTTTGTATTTTTTTAGTAGAGGCGGGGTTTCTCCATGTTGATCGGACCAGTCTCAAACTCCTGACCTCAGATGATCTGCCCACCTCAGCCTCCAAAACTGCTGGGAGTACAGGCGTGAGCCACCATGCCCTGCCATATATATATTCTTATGGTAGAACAATTTATATTCCTTTGGGCATATACCCAGCAATGGGATTGCTGGGCCGAATGGTAATTCTGTTTAAAATTCGTTGAGAAATCTGCAACCTGCTTTCCATACCAGCTGAACTATTTTACACCACCAAAAGCAGCACGTAAGTGTTCCTTTTTAACCACAACCTCATCAGCAGGTCAGTTTTTGATTTTTAACAGTAGCCATTCTGATTGATATGAGATGATAATCTCATTGTGGTTTTGATTTTATTTTCTCTAATGATTAGTGAGGTTAAGCATTTTTTTCATATGCTTGCTGGCTGCATGTATGTCTTTTGAGAAGTGTCTATTCATGTCCTTTGCCCATTTTTTAATGAGGTTGTTTCTGCTTGTTAATCTGTTTAAATACCTCACAAATTCTGGATTTTAGACCTTTTCTAAATGCATAATTTGAAAATATTTTCTTCCATTTTATAGGCTGTCTGTTTACTGTGGTGATAGTTTCTTTTGCTATGCAGAAGCTCTTTAGTTTAATTAGCTCCCATGTGTCAATTTTTTTCTTGTTATTGCAATTGCTTTTGGTGTCTTCATCATGAAATCTTTGCCAGAGCCTGTCCAGATTGGTATTTCCTAGATTTTCCTCTAGGGCTTGGGCTTTGGGTTTTACATTTAAGTCTTTAATCTATCTTGAGTTAATTTTTGTATCTGGTGAAAGGAAGGGGTCCCATTTCAATCTTTGGCATATAGCTAGCCAGTTATCCCAGCACCATTTATTGAATACAGAGTCCTTTCTCCATTGCATGTTTTTCTTGACTTTGTTGAAGATCAGATGGTTGTAGGTATGTGGCTTTATTTCTGGGTTTTCTAACCCATTCCATTGGTCTATGTATCTGTTTTTGTATTGGCACCATGCTGTTTTAGTTATTGTATCTTTGTAGTATAGTGTGAAGCTTGGTTATGTCATGCCTCCAGCTTTGTTCTTTTTGCTAAGGTTTGCTGTGGCTATTCAAGCCCTTTTTTGATTCCATGTGAATTTCCAAATAGTGTTTTCTAATTCTGTGAAAAATGTCATTGGTAGTTTGATAGGAATAGCATTGAATCTGTAAATTGCTTTGAGCAGTATGGCCATTTTAACAATATTGATTCTTCCTATTCATGATCATAGGATGTTTTTCCATTTATTTGTGTTGTCTTTCACTTTTTTCAGCAGTGTTTTGTAATCCTTTTAGAGATTTTTCACCTCCATGGATAGCTGTATTCCTAGGTATTTCAATTTTGTGTGTGGTGATTGCAAATGGGATTGCATTCCGGATTTGGCCTTTAGCTTGAACACTGTTGGTATATAGAAATGCTACTGATTTTGCACATTAATTTTGTATCCTGAAACTGCTGAAGTTATTATCAGAGGTAGGAACTTTGGGGCAGAAACTGTGGCATTTTCTAGGTGAAAAATCATATCATCTTCCAAGAGAGATAATCTGAGTTCCTCCCTTTCTATTTGAATGTCTTTTTTCATTCTCTTGCCTGACTCTTCTGGCTAGGACTTCAGGACTATGTTGAATACAGATGGTGAGAGTGGGCATCCTTGTCTTATTCCAGTTCTTCTAGCTTTTGCCCATTCAGTATGATATTGGCTCTGGGTTTGTCATAGATGGCTTTTATTATTTTGAAGTATGTTCCTTCAAGGTTGAGGCTTTTTTGGGGGAGGGGGTTAACATGAAAGGATGTTAAATTTTATTGACAGCCATTTTTGCATCTATTGAGATTATCATATAGTTTTTACTTTTAGTTCTATTTATTTGATGAATCACATTTATTGATTGGTGTATGTTGAACCAACTATGCATCCTAGGAATAAAGCCTACTTGATCATGGTAGATTAGCTTTTTGATGTGCTGCTGGATTTGGTTTGGTAGTATTTTGTTGAGGATTTTTGCATCTGTGTTCTTCAGGGATATTGGCCTGAAGTTTTCTTTTTTCTGTGTCTCTGCCAGGTTTTGGTATCAGAGTTATGTTGACCTCATAAAATGAATTAGGGAGGAGTCTCTCCTCCATAATTTTTTACAATAGTTTCAGTAGGATTCATATCAGTTCCTATATGTCTGGTAGAATTTGGCTGAGTATCCATCTGGTCCAGGGCTGTTAATGGTTGATAGGCTCTTTATTACTGATTCAATTTAGAAACTTGTTATTGGTCAGTTCAGGGTTTCAGTTTCTTCCTGGTTCAATCTTTGGAGGTTGTATTTTTCCAGGAATTTATCTATTTCTTCTAGGTTTTCTAGTTTCTATGCATAGATGTGTTTGTAACAATCTGAGGGGTTTTTGTTTATACTATTTCTGTGAGGTTGGTAGTAATGTCACTTGTGTCATTTCTGATTGTGTATATTTGGATTTTTCTCTTTTTTTCTTTGTTAGTCTAGCTAGCAGTCTATCAATCTTATTTATTCTTTCAAATAACAAACTTTTGGTTTTGTTGATCTTTCGTATATTTTTTCACATCTCAGTTTCATTCAGTTCAGCTTTAATTATGGTTCTTTCCTTCAGTTAGCTCTAGGGTTAGTTTTTTTCTTTCTTTTTTTTTCTAGTTCCTCTAGGTGTGATGTTATGTTGTTAATTTGTGATCTTTCTATCTTTTGATAAAGGTGTTTCATGCTATAAACTCCCCTCTTAACAGTGCTTTAGATATGTCCCAGAGATTCTGGTATGTTGTATCTTTATTATCATCAGCTTCAAATAATTTCTTGATTTCTGCCTTCATTTCATTGTTTACCCAAAAGTCATTCAGGAGCAGGTTGGTTGTTTACTTTCCATGTAATTGTATGGTTTTGAGATACAGCCTTTTTTTTTTTTTTTTTTTTTTTTTGAGACAGAGTCTCACTCTGTTGCCAGGCTGGAGTCCAGTAGCACGATCTCAAGAGCCACATCTTAATAGACCTTTACAGTAAGTGAGCAGGCTGTAGTTCAAGAAAAAGTGTTCTAGCCTAGACAAGAGTCAAACACTTGGGCTCAAGTCTGCTCTATGCATCTAAATCAGTGTGTTAGATTAAGTCTTTATGTCTAACTTTCCTTTCCTGTAATGAAGATAATAATACCTTCAGTATGTTTGTGAGAATAAAATGGCATGATCTATGTGAATATACTATGCATATAAACTATAATGTACTAAACACAACCACTATTACATAAAATAGTTTAGGAATTTTAAATATTGGTGCTATAAGACGATTTTAAAAGTTTATTTCTAAGGTAACTTTCCTTTAGGTTCACAAATAAAGCCAGTTGAATTTACAAATAAGTTCAGTTATCTGTAAGGTAACTTTTACTTGGATTTACAGCATTTTGTCTTTAATCTCTGTCGTAACAAAGTCTTTCTTGTCTGATAATAGGCTTACTGATTGACCGCTTCTGTCTGACCGGCGGAAAAAACCCAATTGGCTATTTGAAGGCATATCTTACCAACTTGTATATTGCTGCAGATTCTGAAAAAGTGCAAGAGGCAATACAAGAAGGTATTAGTCTGATTTTATTCCTCTAGTTAATAAAGAGGTTTACACTAATGGTTACTTACATTAAGTTTTGCATATGATTATGAGGCTTATAGTTTTGTTGGATATTCTTCTGAAGTTTTTCCACATGGCGCAACACTTAAGTCTGTGCTTTAGAGCTTTGACTTTCCTGGAAATGGACATCCTCAGTAATTGTCCTACAATCCATTTTACATGTTCCCATTCCTATAGAAACAGAGGCAGTGCATAGACAACTGTTCTGAGATCTGTGGTTGTGAAGAGGAGTTGAGCCATCAGGTAATAGCTAGAGAGAAATCATAAGGTCTGGGAGAATTTGTTTTTTTAATGGTAGAAACTATAACGCATGGACCTGAGAAGAGTATTAATCAGTCTCCATAATCTATCAGGTATTGCCTCTGCCACAATGTTTGATGGAGCCAAAGACATGGCTTACTGTGACACCCAGCTCCGTGTAGCCTTTGATGGGGATGCTATCCTCTTCTCTGATGAGTCTGAACATTTTACCAAGGAGCATGGGCTGGACAAATTCTTCCAGTATGATACATTATGTGAAAGTAAGCCTCTTGCTCAGGTATGTTCAATGAGTGCTAATTAATTTTTATGTACTTATTTATGTACTTATTTATTTTCTATTCTATATAAATATCAATATTGGTCCATTCTGATGAATGTTTAAGTTATTTTAGGCAGGCTACTCCTTCTTACTGTCTTATCTTTGGAGCTTTCTCTCTTTCTTCCATGAATTGCTCACTTTGATGCATTCACTGCTGATAAATTTATTTTATCCATACTTTTGGAAATGCTTGTATGATCTTCCCATAATAAGAAGTATGCGAGTAACAGGAAATACTACTTATCAGTAAGCCACTACTACATAATAAATTATCAAAATAGTAGGGTCATTTCCAATAGATTAGAGTAAGCATTTGTTGAATCTCTGTCCTTGACTTCAAACTCAAGAAAGGCATTGCTTAATTGAGAAAATATGCACAACTAAGAACTTGAACTGAATCAAATAATGATCCTCAAACAAGTGCAAATTATGAATATGTAATCAAACTGAAACTAAATATTTAGATTTTTTTGGATTAGTGCTGTTGAGTACCTTTCAATCCATCCATGAACCGAAGTGTTAAAATCAAGGTCGAAAATGAACAGAACCTATAACTTTTGAACAAAAGGAAATCTGAGATCAAAATGTCATTTAATCTGAATCTAAACTTATAGGTCTTTTAATTTTATTCTGTCAATTTTCCCAAGATATTTAATTGTCCTTTTTCTCAGTTCTTCCTGAACTTAAGTTAAACTTAAATATTGTTATTTTTATATAAATTTATAAAAGTATGAATAGACTAACTGCAAGTTGAAAAGTTTTTCTACTTTGTCACCTCTCATTAAAGCAAGCAATATTTAAACTATGAGTGTGTGTGTTCAACTTCATATTCTCTTTCTAAATAGCTCCTTTGGAAACCTTAACCTAGTGTTATAAAGTTCCATATTAACAAAGCTTACTATTGAGAAGAAAATTCTTTGTTATATTTTATATCAGTCTACTCTGCTGAAATTCAGAGCCGTTCACTATTATTGAAATGTGGAAATCCTCCATAAAAAGAAAACCTAAACAAAAACACTTCAAAGAAAGCATTGCTTCCAGACAAATGTTAAAGTAGTATTTTCTCATCTGAAGTAAATAATCTAAATTTCTTTTAAATTTTACATTTTTCAGTTCTTTTCTCATGCTGTACTTTGTTCTTTTCTTCAGTTTTATTGAGTTATACTTAATTTTTAAAAGTTGCACATATTTAATGTATACATTTTGATGAATTTGAACATATACATACACACATGATACTGTCACTACAAATAAGGTAATAAACATATCCACCGCTCCCAAAAACTTACTTTTCTCCTTGTCTTTTAAACATTTTTTTGTTTTGTGGTAAGAACACTTAGCATAAGATCTATCCACTAAACAAGTTTTTAAGTGTACAATACCATATTGTTAACTATAGGCACTGCATAGTACAGCAGATCTCTAGAATTTATTCATCTTAGCAGGTCTTCCAGGTCTCATCCATTTTGTTACAAATGGTAGTATTTCCTTCTTTTTAAAGGCTGATTAATATTATGTTATGTCTTATCCCATATTTTCTCTATCCATTCCCCTGATGATGGACATTTGAGTTATTTCCAAATCTTGGCCATTGTGAATAATGTTGTAGTAAACATTGCAGTTTACATAGCTCTTTGAGATCCTGTTTTCATTTCTTTTGGATATATACTCAACAGTGGGATTACTGAATCATTTGGCAGTTGTTCTGGTTTTAGTTTTTTTTGAAAAAATTCCATTCTGTTTTCCACAGCGGCTACACAATTTTACATTTCTGCCCACAGTGTATAAGGGTTCCACATTCTCTACATACTCCCCCACCATTTGGTATCTTTGTTTTGTTTTGTCTTCTATAATAGCCATCTTGACTAGTAAAATTTGATATTTGATCGTGGTTTTTATTTGGATTTCTCTGATGATTAATGTGTTGAGTACCTTTTCATATACCCATTGACATTTGTATGTGTTCTTTAGAGAAATGTCTATTCAAGTCCTTTGCCCATTTTTAACCAGCTTAATTTGTTTTTATTTTGCTGTTGAGTTGTAAGAATTCTTTGTATATTTTGGAAATTAACCCTTATCAGATGTATAGTTTGCAAATATTTTCTCCCATTCCATAGGTTGCCTTTTCACTCTGTTTCCTTTGCTTTACAGAAACTTCCTAGTTTTATGTATTCTCACTTATTTTTGCTCCTTAAATGGCCTTTTTCCCCCATTAAACAATTAAAATTGTGAATTCCAACTCTACTTATTGCAGGAATACCCAACAAATTTCATGCTTTCCTTTATTATGCAGTACTTCTGCCAGTTTAAAAACCATGCCATTTTTTACATAAAAAAGGTGATTTTCCATAAAGGCCAGAAGGCTTTGCTGGGTGTTCCATTGATGAGAAAGAATCTATGAGGTACAACTCCTACTGAAGACATTCAAGTATGTGGCTAGTAGGGTGGTGGTTTGGTCATGACAATATCTTAACTTTGTCAAATGGAAGAGGTCTGAAAGTCACCAGCAAATGGGACAGCTGGAGAGGATTAATTGAACAAGTCTGAATGTAGTTTATGAGCCTCCAATCTCCAATGTAGTACAGTGACAAGTAACTGATATCTCCTGATTTGATCCCTATCTCTTGTCTCACCGTTCTGGGATAATGGTCTCTAAGTGTGTGTATGTATGTGTGTGTATGTGAATTTTTGAGGTATGTTTATATAGAGTAAAATTTATAATTTTAAGTGGATAGTTTTAAGAGTTTTAACAAATATATATAATTGTGAAATAACCACTAACATAAAAATACATATTCAACCGTTTCATTAAATCACTAAATTCCCTCATGCCCCTTTGTAGTCATCCTAGTACCCTATCTCCAGACCCCATCAACCACTACTCATCTGATTTCTTTTTCTATAGTTTTGCCTTTTCCAGGTGTCACATAAATGGAATCATATGGGATGCAATCTGACTTGTTTTATTTATTATAGCATAATGCATGTCATTGCATGTATCAGTATTTGGCTCCTTTTTATTGCTGAGTAGTATTCTATTCCGTGGATGTACCATGTTTTCTTTATTCTTTTACCTGTTGAAGGAGTAGGCCATTTCTAATCTTTGACATTTATAAATGAAGCTACTTTTAAACATTTGAATACAAATTTCTGTGTAAATATAAGATTTCATTTCATTTTTAAATACCTAGAAGTGGAATTGCTAGGTCATGTGATAAGTAGTATACTGTATCATTATTTGATGAGATACAGTCAAATTATTTTCCCAAATGACCATAACATTTTGCATTCCTAAAAGCAATGCATGATTTTGTTGCTTTGCATTGTTGCTGGCATTTGGTAGTATTGAGTATTTTTCTTTTCTTTCTTTATTTAAGCAATTTTCGTGTTTATAAAAAAAAAATCTCATTGTAGTTTTAGCTTGCATTTCTTTAATGACCAGTGTTACTGAGCATCTTATCAGGTGCTTTTTTCCATCATGTATCTTCTTTGGTGAAGTACCTGTTCAAATCTTTTCCTCATTTTATTGGGTTTTTGGTTTGTTATCGACTTCTGAGAATTCCTCATATGTTTTGGATACTCATCCTTTATCAGGTATGTGTTTTACAAATATTTTCTCTCAGCCTGTGCTTGTCTTTCTTTCTTCTAACATCTTTCAGTGCTTTTCAGTGAGCAGAAACTTATAATTTTGATGAAGTCAGATTTATCAATTTTTTCTCTTAGAAATTGCACTTTTAATATCATATATAAGAAATCTTTGCCTAATCCAAGGCCACATTGATTATCTCCTGACTTTTTATATAGAAATTTTATGGTTTTAGGCTTTTAATTTAGGATTACAGTCTATTTTGAGTCAATATGGTATTTGTGCAAAGTACAAGTTGTGGTTCATTTTTCCTGCTTATTCTAATTTCCTGGATATCTTAATTGTTCAAGCGTTATTTGTTGAAAAGGGTGACTTTCTGTCTTGTTCCTTTAATATAGATATTCATCCTTTTATCAATATTACATTGTCTTGATTATTGTAGTTTTATAGTAGTTTTGTTTTTTCTTTGTTTGTTTGTTTTTTGACGGAGTCTCGCTCTGTCGCCCAGTCTGGAGTGTAATGGCGTGATCTCAACTCACTGCAACCTTTGCCTCCCGGGTTCAAGACATTCTCCTGCCTCAGCCTCCTGAGTAGCTGGGACTACTACAGGCGCCTACTACCACGCCCAGTTAATTTTTCGCATTTTTAGTAGAGACTAAAATACCATATTGGCCAGGCTGGTCTCGAACTCCTGACCTTGTGATACACCCACCTCAGCTGCCCAAAGTGCTGGGATTACAGGCCTGAGCCACTGCGCCTGGCTACAATAGTTCTTAGGACCAGGTGGTATGAGTACTTCAACTTTGTTAAAATTTAAAAAAACAGAACAAAACAAAAACAACAACAAAAAATATATATATAGAGAGAGAGAGAGAGAACAGTCTGATTCCCTTGCACTTTCATATAGATTTAAGAAGTATATCTATTTCTGGGGGAAAATTTTTGTGAGAATTTTTATTTTTATTTTTGTTTTATTTATAGCTAGAGCTTGGGATAATAGATATCTTAATAATATTGAGTCTTTCTTTCCATGGACATGGTATTTCTCCTCTCCTCATTTATTTAGAACATTTAAATTTTTTTTTTTTTTTTTTAGTCTTTTGTGAGTTTCAGCACACAGATATTGCATTTTTTTATTTATACCTATGCATTTTGTAATATTTTGGTACTATCATAAATGGTACTTTTAAAATCCTTACTATCCAATTATTTATTGCTAATACATAGAATCACAATTGGTTTTTGTTTCTGCAACCTTGTTCAATTTCCTTGTTAGTTCTCACAACAATTTTGTAGATTGAGATTTTCTAAGTCAACAATAATGTTGACTGTGACTAAAGACAGTTTTATTTCTGTGTTTCCATGCTGTATA